GAGGGGCCCCCTGCCCCTCCTGTTTGAGGAGGGGGGGGGGGGGGTGGGGGGGGGGGGAGGGCACTTTACCACTTCTCCCTCTCTGCTGCACCTTTTACCTTAACTCTGCCTGCCAGCTCCATGTTGCTACAGGCCAGGCTGGATCAGCAGTGCCAGCTCTGTGCTGCTGCTACAGGGTTGGGGTGAAGCTATGCTATGTGCCCCAGGCTGCAGCAGGAATGGAGCCTGCCAGTGCGGGGCAGAGGAAAGGTGGGGGTGGAGATGCAAGCAGAGGAAGGCAAGACTTCTGGTGGGGAGGGGGGAGATGGGAGCAGGCATGTGTGTGTGGGAGGCAGAAGTGGTGTGGGGGGGGTGAGGAGAAGGGTTATTGGGGTAGCCTGAGGCTATAGGGATGGTGGTAGACAGGTACAATGGGGAGTAAGTGGAGAGAGGACAGGCAGCAGTGGGCAAGGACTCTGCCTCTCTCTCTCTGCCTGCCCTGCATCCACACTGCCTACTACCTGCCTCCCCCTTGGCTGCCCTACCACATACCCCCACTTCTGCCTCCCTCAGTCTGTCCTCTACCGCCTGCCCCATTACTGCCTCTCTCACCACTTACAGTAGTGGAGGGGATGAATTTAAGATGATTCTTCAATAATTAGTTTCCATATATGCAAAATTATAATACATTTTCCATGTGTGCAATTTAATCACATTCAGGCTCATCTTGTATTCCGTTAAATGCAGTATAACTTCTAGTATACCTTTGCAACTGGGGGCACTTTGGTTAAAAAAGAATATCGTGTTGGTTAGAATAAAATTCTGTCATGGATAAAAGTTTAGGCTAAAGTACTTAATTGCCAAAGGAATTTTTAAAAGAAAATCTTTGTTACCTGCTATCTGAACAAACCTGTTTCCTATGGTAATAAAAATAATGGTCTATGACTTTTGCCTATAAAGTATGCAGTGGAATGTGAGAGGCCAGGATTCTTGTGGATGATATCTTTTGTTGGATCAACTGTATGACTGGGGTAGGCTTAGGCAAGCTTTTGAAAGCAGTGCATTCTTCATGTCTTTAGGTCTGAAGAAGAATGCACTGCCTTCAAAAGCTTGCCTAAGGCCCCTGGCAGCTTCTTTTAATGGCACAATGGGATCTGATTCCCCACTCCCAACAAGAGTACCTCTTGCCATGCTAGACATCCATGGCAGGATCCATGACTTCTGGATCAAGGATTACATCCCAGTCATGCCATTATTACTTATAAGTGCAGAGAGCCCAGGATTATTATAATATTCCTGGGTTCCTCCTGCACTGGCAAGTTCAAAGCTAAGCATTGCAGCCCTTCATGTGGGGCTGACAATTGGTTAATTGCTCAGCTGAGCATTGGGATCTGTCATGGGTCAGCCCCAACATGCCACACCTTCAATTCAAAGTGCATTAAAAACGAGTCACAAATATGTTATACGTTATACATGGAATAACTTTCTGTCTTATTTTCTATGTTATTAACACCATAAAATAATGTGAACTTGTGGCAAGGTTACTGTTTATGACATGAATAATACCTTAATCCTGGTATGAGGAGGGGCACACTGAAGTGCTCTGGGTTAGAATACAAG